GAACCCTAGGACAATGTGACTACCTTACTTGTTGTGCCCCATGCCTTTGACATTTGTATAAACTTTGTGATGGTTGGCTACCTTATTTTCTTACCGTGATTGTTGAGCCCCACCTCTCGGCAGTCTTGGACCCCTCAGGCGGAGTGCACTAGTAGAAAAAAGGGCTTTGGTCACAGCTCCCTGTACACATTAGTCCTGGTTCGAGCGGGTAAGGCGCCGGGAAGGCATTAGTCCCGGTTCAAATGGGACCTTTAGTCCGGATTTGAGACACGAACCGAGAATAAAGGGTGCGGTGCTCTTTAGTCCCGGTTCGTGTCTTAAACCGAGACTAAACGTTAGACATTTAGTCTCGGTTTGAGACACGAACCGGAACTAAAGGGTGTGATGCCCTTTAGTCCCGGTTCGTGTCTCAAACCAGGACTAAAGGTCTCATTTTCAAACTCTACCCCCCCCCTCCCGTGATCGCCTTTTCAGTTTTGTAAAAAACAAAAGAAAATGATAAAAACTTCAAAAATTAAAATCCTTTGAGATGTAGCTATGTTACTACATCTATTAGTTAGGAAAATTAAAAAACTTAAATTTGGACATGTTTTGCAAAAAAAGTGTTATGAAAAGGTAAAACGGCCATATCTTTTGCATACGATGAAAAAAACGCATAATATATCAAAAAAATCAGTACAAAAATCCGCATCCGATTTTGACAAACGTAGGCCTGTTTGCAAATTTTTAGAATCCTAAAATTCTAAAAGGAAAAAAGATATGCTCAAATTTCATTTTTTTTTGACTTTTCGTTAAATCTGGTCAAACTATGGTCAAACTACTTATTCAAGAAATATTAGTGTTAATAAATAATTATTTTTAGTTTTTTCGACTTTTGGTCAAACTATGGTCAAATCTGGTCAAACTATGGTCAAATCTAGTCAAACTATGGTCAAACTACTTATTTAGAAATATTAGTGTTACTAAATAATTATTGTTTTTAGAATAATAGTTTCAAACTCAAACGGTGCTTAATGCTCAAGTTCAACTCTTAAGGGTTAATAGGATTGACAACTTAGTATTATCAGGAAAACAAAAAGTGCAGACTTGGAAACTAGGGGAAATAGAACTCGAAAGTTAAGCGTGCTCAGACTGGAGTAGCGAGAGGATGGGTGACCGACCGGGAAGTTAGACGATTTGGAATGAAGAGGGGTGAGTAGAGATTAGAGATTAAATTGAGCAGCGATGAGGGGTGATTAAAGATTAAATACAAATAATTAAGAAATTTGGAAATCGAGAAAAAAATCAATTTTTTTCAAAAAAGGTCGAGCTCCAGACAGTGGCCACGTGGGGGGCCTTTAGTCCCGTTTCGTAACACAACCGGGACTAAGGAGAGGGGGCTTTAGTACCGACCCTTTAGTCCCGGTTCCGGAACCGGGGCTAATGGGCCTTATGAACTGGGACAAATGGGCCTTTTTCTACTAGTGTTGGCTATTTTTTTTATTTACCGCATACGTTGTGCTCCATGTCTTCTATGCTCAAATGATCCTGGAGTTGTACGACTATTTTCCTTATCCTCCATACTGGTAAAGGAGTGCCAGACCTGGTGGCTATGTTCTGGTTGTGCGGTTGCATTCGATACATTAAACTTGTCATAAGCATACATGTTGCATACATTTTCGCAAACAAGGTTTTATGCATTTGGTTGTTGTTAACTTTCGAGTACATTCAAAGCACTCGCCTGGCTTTTCATGTGGCCATATGTAGGCGATGACGTGTATGCATTTATCATGGAACCCGTCATGGATGTGTGTGCCAACAGCATTCCTATGGATCGGAGTCTCGCTTCGAAGTTACTTTATTATGTTGTGTTTTCCACTACTAGTTATTGAGGCTCATAATTTGTGCACTAAATAATGTAAAATAGTTGTGTCAGTGTTGATTCTACAATCTTGGAGTATACATGATAGAAGCATACATAGAGAAAGAAATTGTGCAAAGAAAAGGGGGGCATTAACATGGATGATCTCATGAACAGAGCCGCACTAGTCCGATGGAATGCTTCCGATCGTCAGTCTAATCCCTAGCAATGCCCCTTTTTTCCCAAGAATTCGATGGAGCAAACGTGTGTGATAAATCATTTTAAACAACAACAACAACGACGACAACAACAACAACAACAACAACAACAACAACAACAACAACAAAGTCTTTAGTCCCAAACAAGTTGGGGTAGGCTAGAGGTGAAACCCATAAGATCTCGCGACCAACTCATGACTCTGGCACATGGATAGCAAACTTCCATGCACCCCTGCCCATAGCTAGTTCTTTGGTGATGATAAATCATTTTAAATACAAACTATTTTCCTCTATGTTCTTGGTTTGCGAGATGCATCATATATTATTCTTTTGCAGGAAATCATGTAATTCTTTTGACATCATGATGCATGTGTTCCATAAATGGATGTAGTTTTTTTTAAGATAGACGCAACGGCGAAACCAGGTTGTCAATTGGATTAATGGTTTGCGAAAAGTATAGTTTGAACATAAATTTAGAGAAGCATCTGCTGACGTCATATAATTTGAGGAGGGAGAGGGGAGATGCCCCATGAAAATGCATGGGCGTGGCTGGTGTTGCCCTTTGTGTTTTGGAATCTTGAAATGAATAAAATTGATTTGATTTGATTTGTTTGAGTTCATACAGGACGTGGTTTTGAAAACAGGTTTGCTATTTCATATCTAGATGTGAAATAGTTATCTCACATCTAACTTTCTAATTAAACACACAATTTAGACATCAAGATTTGTGTTCTTTGGTTTTTTTTTTGTTGTTTGACGTTGTCTCTGTACGTGTTGCTTTTTGTAGACAATATACGCGTTGCTCGTGCAGGGTCTTGTCATGCTGTTGTTTCTTTTTCACATCCATCAAGTGTTTTCTTAAGGTGGGCTGCGGCCACAAGCAATTTTTCGATTTTTTGTTTTTTCCTTCTTTCTTTTATTTTCAAATTTGTAAACTTTTTAGTTCATGATTTTTTATTTTATTTTTCTCTTTTCCATTCCATTTTAAATATTAATGAATTTTTTCCATCACTATCAATTGACTGTCCACAATTAAAGGAGTTGTCTTTTTTTTGTCTTAGTTGTAAGCTCAATCTTAACTTGCAACCAGGACATGTCTTTTTTTTGTTCTAGTTGCAATCCCATCCTTGACTCGCAACTGGGTCTTCACTTTTTTGTCTCAATGACAAGTCCATCATCGACTCGTAACTGGGGCCTGGATTTGTTTTGTCCCAGCTGCAAGTCCATCCTCGACTCGCAACTCAGCGCCAACCTTTTTTTGTCTCAATTGCAAGTTCAACCTCGATTCACAACTGGAGTCCGATCTTTTTTAGTCCCAATTGCAAGTCCACCCTCAACTGCAACTAAGGGTCCGACATTTTAGTCCAAGTTGTAACTCCATCATCGACTCATAACTGGAGCCCGACATTTTTCTCCGGTTGATAGTCTAACCTTGTTCGCCCAGTTGCAAGTCTACCGTCGACTCACAACTGGACCTCACCATTTTTGTCCCAGTTGCATGTTCACTCTTTGACTCGCAACTGAGGTTCAATCTTTTTTTGTCTCAGTTACAAGTCCATCCTCGGCTTATAACTGGGGCCTGTCATTTTTTTTGTCCTAGTTGCAAGTCTACCCTCGACTCGTAACTAGGGTGTGACCTTTTTTTGTCTCAGTTACAAATCCAACCTTGCATCCTAACTGCGGGTCCGATATTTTGTTTGTGCTAGTTGCAAGTCCACCCTCGATTTGCGAACTGGGGCCTGACTTTTTACCAGTTGCAAGTCAACATTCGACTCCCAACAGGGCCTGACCTTTTTTGGGCTCAGTTACAATCTCACCCTCGACTCGCAACTAGGTCCAACATTTTTTTTCCGTAGTTGCAAGTCCACTCTTGGATCGCAATTGGGACCCGATCATTTTCTGTCCCAGTTGCAAGTCCATCATTGACTCGCAACTATGGCCCAATTATTTTCCTTCCAGTTGCAAGTCCATCCTTGACTTACAACCAGGGTCTAATTTTTTTTGTCTCAGTTACAATCTCATCCTCGACTCACAATTGGTGTCCGGCCTTTTTTTTTATCCTAGTTGCAAGTTCATCCTTGACTCGCAACTGGGGCCAGCCATTTTTTGCCCCAGTTGCAAGTCCACCCTCGACTCGCAATCGGGGTCTGACTTTCTTTTGTTCAGTTGCAAGTTCACCCTTAATTCGCAACTGGGCCTGACCTTTTGTTGTCTGCAATCACACTCTCAACTCGCAGTTGAGCCTAGACTTTTTTGTCCCAGTAGCAAGTCCAACATTTTTTTTGCTTTTGACATATGCATCTGACGTGAACAAGGTACTATGTGTCAATTTTTTGTGCAAAAGCAAAATGCACGTTCGCTGTAACATACTACAGTACTGTAGCGATTACTGTAGTTAACGATAGTGAATGGATGGATGCATAGCTCTGTAACTAGAGGAAAGTAAACCCGGTATTAAAAATGGACTGTTGGCTACCATCTCTCGCGCATGTACCAGGCTCACACATTGGCCGCACGGGACAGCCAGCATGCGCACACTGCTTAGTAGATTTTTGTAAAACAAAAGTAAGGGGTGGGCTTATTTTTTGATGTCATACTTATTATCTCACATCTAGATGAGATATAGCCAGACCCTTTTGAGAAAGCATCGATTTATGTTGCTATTTTTTATTTTTTTATTTTATTTTGAGAAATGTGGGAGAGAAAAAATCAGATGGAAGGTGCAGACGAGACAAACTCTCAGATTTTTCTGGCGTGGCACGTGACCATGACATGAGAGGGCGTGAAGCCGTTTCAGATCCGATCGCGCGATGGGCCATGCAAAGCCAAGCCGCCAGCCCCTTGATTGCCGTGAACGGCATCCTTATCTTGACGGAATTTAACCACTTTCGGCTCACTGGAGGGCTCACGCAGATATTTCAGCTTGGTGGTTCGTCAACCTCATGGAGGGACCCGTTCCGTCCCTCTCTCTCATATTCGCCCGCTCCTCTCCCCATCCAATCAGCGAGAGACATACGCCAGCGAGCGAGCGGCAGCCGGAGGAGGCGAGGCGAGGGATGGCGCGGCGCGGGCCGGTTGAGCTGCGGCGGATCGAGGACCGGACGAGCCGGCAGGTGCGCTTCTCCAAGCGCCGCTTGGGCCTCTTCAAGAAGGCCTTCGAGTTCGGCCTCCTCTACGACGCCGAGGTCGCGCTGCTCGTCTTCTCCCCGGCCGGCAGGCTTTACGAGTATGCCTCCTCCAGGTATATACAGGCTGTGCTTTGTTTATTTATTTATTTACCTATATATATCCGTTCCAGCAATTGTTATGTAGATAATTGGCCATAACAAGTTTGTTGTTATATTTGTACTAGACCAGCAACAATTAATATGGATCGGAGGGATTGTACTATTTTCTCACTATACTTGGTAGAACTGTGTTTGAAATTGCTAGTCAAAGCCTGCCTAAGAGCATCTCCAATAGGCACCCAAAAACTGCTCCGCACGCTAAAATTCGGGTTATTTTGGGTGCCGGACAGCTCCAACAAAAGCTATAAAATTGTGCGTGCAAAAAAGGGGTTGGACGCGTGCTGAAAACGCTATCGCATGCTGCAACTTTTGAGGCGCCGAATTGCGCGTGCTTCACAATTTATACTCCGTGTTTTTTTGACGCGCGTTTTGGACATCTGGTAAACCAATGTTGGGTCCGGCGCACTAAAAGTGCTATAGTGACGCGCTAAAACTATTTTAGGGTGTGAAATTTTTGTCCGTCTGTTGGAGATGCTCTAAAGCTTTGAACGTACAGTTTCCATAATATTATCCATTTGTTTTCAGCATAGAAGATACATACGACCGCTATCAGGCATTTGGAGGAGCCGGAAAGAACCTGAATGAAGGCGGTGCAAGCACCAACAATGTAAATTAATCTCTCTCTATATAGCTTTTCTTATTGCATACACCTTAGAGCTCGTTTAGGAGTGGAAGCTGCCAAGTACTCCCTCCGTTCCTAAATATTTGTCTTTTTAGAGATTTCAAATGAATTATCACATACGGATGTATATAGACATATTTTGGAGTGTAGATTCACTCATTTTACTCCGTATGTAGTCACTTGTTGAAATCTCTAAAAAGACAAATATTTAAGAACGGAGGGAGTACGTAGTATCATTATGCAGATTTAATTGGTCTATATTTCTGAATTTTATTACCATGGAAATGCACTACGCATGATGAAGTGTACGCTTGTAATCATGGATTACGTTGCCTATGCACATGACCAGCAAAACGAATGCAAATATGTTCAGTTTTATAATGTACTAGCACTGGCTTATCTGAACAAGTCATCTATGTTCTCTATAATCCAGGTCTAGGTTGTAATTACACCATTCTGTATTAAGGATAACCAAATTGTATAACTATTTATATACACTTTTTAAGCAAGATTGTCTATATACCCACATATATCTCTGACATGATATGTTGGTCCTGAGCCAGGGGGGAGATCCTTCAAATATGCAGTCAAGGCTGAAAGAGATTGCTTCCTGGTAGCTCTCAGATACCTTTCACGACATATCGTAGTACTCCCTCCGTCCGGAAATACTCGTCGGAGAAATGCATAAAAATGGATGTATCTAGAACTAAAATACATCTAGATACATCCATTCCCCCGACAAGTATTTCTGGACGGAGGGATTATGTTATTTCCTGCATTTAGCCCAATGCTGATTATGTGCAATCCTGAAGGTCTCTTCAAAACAATGCTGATGACGCAGATGCTAATGAGCTAGAGAAACTAGAGAAACTACTCACAGATGCTTTGGAGAATATAAAATCCAAGAAGGTACACCTAAATGGTTCTGTTGATGTTTCTAATCAACTTTTGTAGCCAAGAATCAAGTTTCTGGTTTCTGTTGCACCCTTGGGCCATCAGGAAAATGCCTCTGTTTTTGGCCATTTCAACTAATTCAACAGCTCATGGCTTTAGCATGATCTTAGTTCGCCCTCGATGATCTAACTAGACATAAGCAATCACTGGTTCCTTAACAAAAAAATTCTCCTACCTAATGGTGTAAGGTAAGTATCTTTCATTTCGATTGCCTATTCTTAAGCACTAGAGATAGTTCAATGATGTAGTTGCATATTGACTCTTGAGACAATGGTCCTAAATGTGTTAGTCCCTATATCTTGGTAAATGATATGTTAAATAGATAGAATGAAAAACTCATCTTCACAGTGCAGCATGTGGCTGTCATTGATATTTTCATATATCGCTGCTAGTACATTTTTAGATTCAGCATAAAGCTAGGTAGATGTGCTACTATGGTATAAACCTTGGTTGTCTACAACTATACTTGGATGAAGTCTCCTGTGATGTGAAGATAGAAGAAGTCAACAGATGTTCTGGCTTCACAGGAATCGGCAACAAGTGGGTTGCGTTGTCATTTTCTCTGAGAATTGTGTAGCTCATTCCATAGCTGCAATGACAGACAAAATGGAGACATCCGAATAGACCCTGTCTGTCACTTGTAAACAGGAAATTAAGTTTTGGAAGAGAACTTGGCATTAGAGTTCAATCAATAGGAAGACTATTCACAAGGCTATTTGGTGTGCAAAGCAGGACAGGATACTACTGTATCCTCTGAATCCATGCACAAAGACTTGTTAACAAGCTTTGGTTTGCTGTCGATGGAGTGCAGATGTTGGCGCAACGAAACAGCGGCGCTAGCGGCGGGAACTCCACCATCAGTCCCAGGGAACAGGAGGAAGGAAGGAGCTGAGCAGTCTATATGTAATGCATGTACTCCCTCCGTACCAAAATAAGTGTCTCAAGCTTAGTACAATTTTGTACTCCCTCTGTCCTATAATGCAAAAACGTCTTACATTATGAGACGGAGGGAGTACTAAAGTTATTACAAAGTTAAGACACTTATTTTGGGACGGAGGGAGTATTTGCTGATGCCACACTGCTGCCTTGCCTTGTGCTTTTCATATCAGTCTGTTGTCAGTCTTCACTGCTGCTATGTCATACGCAGTTGCTCGAGAAATAAGTTTGAGCTCTTTTACAGTACCCTTAAATTAATATAAGCCGTCTATTTCTGGCAATCCAATGGCCAGTATGATCCGGTACTCCCATCTTTTGTTTCACGGAGTACTGACTCGAAGAGTCAAGGAGTACCTTAATCTAAGGGGCAAACAGTAATCGCATCAATCATTTTATGGTTATTTCTCTTGATGGTATTTTGATATTCCCCCTTGTAACCTCTGGTTCGTACGAACGCCGCGCTGCACTCGTTTCCGTCTGCGAACGCCGCCGCCACTGCGATTTGCTCCGCCTGCCGCTGCCGCCATGCTTGTGTCCTCCACAATCAGATCGAACGCTGGCACGTTCTAACCTCTGAACATAATGGACGGGTTTGTGAAGCCTAGTAATGCATCCTGGATCTGGAGGAATGCAGCGGATGGATTGACTGTCTCATGCTTTTCACTAGACGATGCACCAGCGCAGAATCAACGGAGACATCCTAGGTGCAGATTGCTACGGGCGACGACAATAATTCTGATGGAGTGAAGAGAAATCTTGAATCTGGCTGGCGATGGCGCCGCTTTTTTTTTTAGGCCTCACGGCTGAATGCAGGATCGATCGACAGCCGTTTTCTATCAAACTGAACGATTGGCCTCTATTGTGGAAATCCCAAAATACCATTCGTAAAATGTCTAAGTTACCCTTCATCATGGATGGCCAGATTTGTTTGGTACTCCGGTCAATGCCATGGAAGTACCAGGGTACAGTAAAAGAGCTCATAAGTTTATGTGGATGTGCACTTTATACAAACTAGATGATTTCCTTGCGCCGTTGCTGCGTGAATTTAAAAGCTTATTTTTGGATGTATTATGGATGAACAAAATGACTTAAATCGAAAGCTATTATTCTCAAAAAGAATTATGTGTGAACAAAGAGTATGCATGTCCGTTGGACCATTGGAGTTGCAACAATTAAATTGGGGTATGCATGTGCTAGTGGATGCTGTTGTTACCCTCTCAGGCTGGTTTTTTTATTCGATTCCACATTGCTGATTTGGGATTTCTGTGTTGCTTGTTTATACTATGAGATAGTATGACGCAAAAGCAGCAGGATAAGCAGAACATGTTGTTGTATTGAGCGATTTGTCGTCGATTTGGTTCGTGCGTGCGTACGTATGTTGCCTGCAAATTCAAGATTGCAGTGTCCACCAAGGATCGCAGCGTACGTATCATAAATTGTTCTCAGCTACGGTGGAGAGCCTAGGGTGCAAATCAAGGAACAAGGGTGTGACATTTTGACTTGAACTAGCAGAAGAAGCTCTGCTTTTGCATATAAGAAGAGGGTAATTTTACAAGTTACAGGAATGTGTGGTAGCACGCCCACTTTTACTCGGCCTAACTACACATCGAACACTTCCGGAGAATCATGATATCATCGTTGATCATCGCAACTACCGCCCAAGGAGTGGCCTCCTATTAAACATCCTATGGGGCAGTCGGACCAGAGCTCAAGTTCCCTTGACTCAGATTTGGGTGCTTCAAGTTGAGAAAACTTGACTCTCAAATATTTTCCTGAAATCTTGAAATTATTAAACAAACCTTGAAATAGAAGAATTTTTTTATTCACCATCATGTAAGGAACTCCCCATTTTATTTTCTCATTACAGCTCTTTGTGGTTTGATATAGCACATCCTAACAATCTTCAACTAATTCTATCCATGCTCAATGAAAGAATGTAAATAAAAGCTGAAGAAGGAGCAGTAGCATATTTCCAATATATGAGCAGCATTTTTGTCACAAAATGCTAAGATAAATTGGTCCTCAAACTCCCCAGTCAAACTGGCAGTAGCTGTGTCCCTCGATGTAACATTGTGTCCAATAGTGAAAGATGAAAAATGACTAATTCAAGCATTTTTCAAGTGCATGGCACAGGACAGTCATTTGCAGAGTGGCCATGTCTCCAGACATCGCAATCCACTACCGAACCTGTAAACAATACCACGACGAACCGTCACGGCAGCAACCTCTTTGCCATAATGCAGCCTTGCGACTGTATTTCGATCATTTGACGACCATAGCACCGCTTCATGAAGCTCCCCTTCCTTCCAGCGGATGTCAACAGTTACATCGCCACGGGCCTTCAGCCCTTTGACGCTGCCCATGGGCCACTTATCTCTCGGTAGAGCGGGGAGCAAGTATAGGTCACTCTGTGTGCTCTGGATCAACATTTCGGCAATGGCAGCTGCAAATCTGTCAGAACAGAAAGAGCGGGATCAGAAATACTTTTTCAGTTTCTGAAGACTCAGATGCCATGGTGAGGAGTTGGGAGGTCAATGTACCCGAAGTTTGCGTCGATTTGGAATGGTGGGTGTGCTGTCCACAAATTGGTATAGAGTCCTCCTTCAAACTCAACCTTACCACCGGGAGGAACCAAGGTGATCAGCTTTAAAACCATTCTGTATGCATTTTCACTGTTCAGAAGACGCGCCCACAACGCCATTTTCCATGTAGTTGACCATCCGGGGCCATCTTCACCTGTCAAGCAAAAGGGAGAGATGAGAAAAACTAGTTAAATGTGTCAAATTGTAGTCCAATGTGTCCAGCTTTTGAGTTGAGCTAACCTCTTTTGTAAAGGCTATTGGCAACAGCTTCACAAACATCAGGATCATTATCCATGGCTATAGTATGTCCAGGGTAAAGCCCAAAGAGATGCGACACGTGCCTATGTTGGACTTCTGGGTCCTTAAAATCCAGTGCCTGCATTAACATGTATGACAAAAATCATTCTACAACACAGGGTATGTTAAAAGTGAAAAGCAAAAGAACAGCTTAGCATTTTGAGCACCTACCCACTCCATGATGGTACGATCTCTTGCAAATTGTATGGGAGGAAGTCTTGGGAGCGCTTTCTTGATTCTCTCAACCAAATCAATATCAGCTTTTCCCAAAAGCTACACGATCAACCGATTACAGTACATACATGTGCTATTACCCCATGGTGCTAAAATTAGTTACTACAAGTGATTGCCGCTTAATTACCTCAGCGGATGCAAGGACTGCAAGGAAAACCTCCCGAATGATTGTGATGTCCATTGTTGTCGAGTAACTCACGCTTGCTGGCTTACCATCAGGAGCTACGAAAGCATGCTCCGGAGAAGTTGAAGGATTGGTTTCCAGATAACCTCCAGGTCCTTCAATCAACCAGTCAACCAGAAAGTTGGCACAGCCTTCCAGCAATGGATATGCCGTGTTTTCCAAAAAGTCCTGAAAAATATCTTACAAGACAGTAAATATTTCACACCTTCGAACCACCAAATAACTATTTTGCGAAAAAGTTTGAAGAATATTTGATGTTCTAATTATGTATCTCTGACAAGGATTGCAAATATTCAGATATGTTTTTCTTAAAGTTTGGGGAACCTTAACATTCTTACAGGATGGGATTTTGGATCCAGAAATTATCCTTGCAAAGCTTGTCAAGTCAGATATAGTAAGACAATATCATTGGAGAGTGAACTGAAATAAGAAAGTAGTACAACGATTTGAGGCTTACTTTGTCCAGTGAAAACTGGTAATGCTCCCACAGGTGTGTGCACAACCAGGCCCCTCCCATAGGCCACACAGCATGCTTTGGATTCTTAAGAAACGCCGATGATTTTGCCCATATATCCGACACATGATGTGTTACCCATCCACCTGCTTGGTAATTGACCTGTCACAGTCACATAGTTCCCCATAATAAGTAGGCCAAAGGAATCAGGCTAAAGAAATTCAACTTCAATGTTGCTACAAAATGGGACAAATGGCTCTGATTCTTTTTTTAAAGGAACTGATTTTACTGCAGCATGCTCCAAAGTACAGAGAAAAGAATAACATGAAGGTATTGTCCTAAAAAAACATGGAGGTATTTGCAATAGGACATATACATCTAGACTAACTTAAAACATCGTGTCACAATTTGTATTTTCCAATAGAGGAGGTATGAAGTTCGGTAATTATGCGATGTCTCTTTCTTTTCATGACTGAGGCACAAGTTGCAATAACTGTTAATATGTTGAACATGTCTCATCAGCACCAGTCCCGGTAATCAGAGCCGGAACTTACTTTTGCTGTTTTACTCCCGTTAACCGCAAGCGATCCTAGGAAATCAAATAATGGTTCCTGGCATTCACTAAGGTTGCAAGTAAGTGCTGGCCAGTAATTCATCTGTAGATTTATGTTCAGATGGGGAGCTGCACTGAAAAGCAGAGCACGTAAGTGTTCAGCATATTAAGTTAATATCGACCAGAAAATATGGTCAGAAAACAAGATCAACAACTGAAAGTATGAATCAAAAGAAAAATAACAAGGAAGAAAGCTCTTACTCCCACTCAGGTGCAATATCTTGGCTCCAGATTCCTTGCAGATTAGAAACCTGAGTTCCAGGCCGGGAGCAGGAAATGAGGAGATAGCGACCATACTGAAATAAGAGTTCAACCAGAGAAGGATCCTCATCAGTACTAAAACTCTTCACCCTATCTGCTGATGTCCTGATGTTTTCAGCAACTTCTTCTGGTCTATCTTTTCGAGCCACCGAAGTGGATGCGTCGTTCAATCCTCGTGAAAGTTGTATGGTCACGCGGTTAAAAAGGCTCTGATAATCATCCAAATGGGCTGCTTTAAGTTGATCAAATGTGAAGTTCCTGCTGTTACTCAGCGTACTGAGAGCTAGAGATGTGGGATCTAATTTGGAGTCTGCAGGATTAACAAGTGGCCCATCGAACGACGATGCTGCGGCAACTACGAAAACAACCCAATCTGCACTGTCAAGCCTCAACTTTTGGTCATTCAGCACTGTAGCTTTTGCCGCGCTCCCACCCATCTGCAAACCCAGAGAAGCTGTAAACCTAATGCCAGTTGCATTATCGCCACCGTTGTCTCCCATCCCAGGCCTCTGACCTGGACATATACCTTCCATGATCATCTCGTTTTCATTGGTTACAGTGACGCTGTGGCTTAACTGACTGCTTAAGGACAGTGTGCAGGAGACATGGCCTGGTGTGCTTGCTGAGAACCTGGTGACGATGACTTGATGTGGATTCGAGCAGAAGTGCTCCCTTGTGTACTGCACTCCCCCGACGACGTATGTGACCAGAGCAGTCGCCGTATGTAGATCAAGCTCTCTTTTGTAAGAATCATACACCTCATCCGAGGTGCTGAACTCGATATTTAAGTCACCAAGAGGTTGGTATACCTTCAGAACAAGAACCAATGTATCAAGAAAGCAGTATAAACCCGAGTATGTATCATTAGCAATATCGTCAGTTTCATAGTTCAGATGTATTGGGGCACTGTATTTAGCCAGCAAAAGAATGTATATTTTAAAAGGCAAAACTAAAGGCAACATACCTCGGACTGTCCACCGAAAAGGCCCTTGGCTGAAGCCGTGGCGTCGGCGAACCTTCCTTGGTCGACCAATCCCCTCACCTCCGCAAGAACACCCGGTGCCTTTGGGTCGGTGTAGTTCCCTGGCACGCCGGTCCATAGTGTATCATCTGGCAGGAGAAAGATTGTAGCACATCATTTCTGTCCCCCATCTTTAAAACATCAAATCATGGCATAGCCGAATTAAACTCCACGACGTTAAGGCGAGGGGGATATGCAGGGAACAAGACACCCTTGATCTACAATTCTGAACTCAGTTTCATGAAGCAAGTGGGTTAGTGAATCACGGACGGTTAAGCTGGAGCTTGTCGGAGGAGACCCCGCCCCAAACCATGGCGCCGAGGCTGCCGTTGCCGATCGGCGCCGCGTCCGTGAAGTACTCGGCCGGCGACGAGAACGTCACCTTGAGCGGCCGCTCCTCCTCCTCCTCGGCCGTCCATGGACGCCACGATTCCTCCTCCGCCGGCCGGCGCACCCAGACCCAGTCGTCGGGACCATCCATGTCCATGGGCAGTAGAAGACGAGTGCAGGACGATTGGAAGGAAGAAATGGTCTGGTGCTCTGCTCGGAGGGAGCTTCCATTCTATTCTCTTGGTTGTTTGGCGCCAAGGGAGAGGACAACAACAAGCCGGCGTGCATGCAGGCCTCCGCCGCCTCCGTGTTGGCCTTTTGCAAGCCAGACATTTGCTTCATTTTGCTACAATTGTTTTCTTCCGCCCAAAATAATAATAATAATACATGAGTGTTTATATCTGAAAATACATGAGCCTAAAATTCAAAAAAAAAATACATGAGTACTTCTGTCTTCAGTCAGATATATAAAATTTGTATTGAAAGGATATGTCGAAATTATTAGGCCTAGCCCGTTTAATATTTCAGAATATTGCCAATAATTCATAGTAAATCTTAGAGTCTCATATGGCCCATTCATGCATAAAAAGGTGTGTAAAAAGCTTAGTCACATCACGGGATGTGTAAGACCAACTTAAAAGATGAGTTATTCCACGCACCGCTAGCTAAAAGCTTAAAAAGAGAGCACATACACGCATGTTCCTCCTCCACCTCCAGCTTCGGAACGTCATGTTTCTGATTTTAGCGGAGCCGCGGTAAGAACTATGCCATGTGTGTGTGCGTCAGTTGTGTCTTGCCTACCTCTTTTCCATCTCGCTCCTCGGCATGCGCTGGTTTGCGTCATTGTGTTACTTAATTCAATCATCATGTTTTATGTTATGTCTTTCTGGAATAAACTTAATGAAAAATTACTGAAATCTTCAACAAGACATATGAATTTGATGTTTTGCCGGAGTGTCATTTAATTTCCTGTTCCGGCAAATCACGGGCACTCGACATGTCCTACTTTCTAGCACAAGTCATGCCAAAATTCATGAAAAATTTCGGCATGACCTTTGCTAAAACAGGACATATCGAGCGCCTGAAATTTGCCGGAACAAAATGGATCAACATTCCAGCAAAATATAGGCCACTCGGAGTTTCCCTGCAATAGAAAGAGACATATGTGGCCATCTTTGGCACCACATACACAACAGCTCAAGGTCAACATGTCCATACACATACACGTGTCCAAATAGTACAAAATGGTGGTGGGTGTTGATTCAGAAACCCTATCGAAAAAGTATCTCGACCTACCAACGGTGGTGGGTAAGTCAAAAGATAGTTCGTTTAAACATGTGAGGGAAAGTTGAAAGGCCATGATGTTCTTAATTTAGGCAATTAGCTAGAGTAACAATTAGTAGTTATGGTTTAGCCTTGAGCTATTATGTTTTCTTAGGATATGTACCCGAATCGGTAGCAACAATACTTCTTCTAGTTTAGGAAATTAGCTATATCAATTAACCTGGATTCAATGTCCAAATAATATTTCTTCTGTTGAAGAAACCCTAGTCATCATATATTCAATGTATAAAACAATCTAGCCTAAAAACCTAAATATAGTCGCAATAACCCTAAATATAGCAAGATAACCAAATAATCTTAAATATAACAACATTAAATACAACAAAAAAATACTAAAGAAAAAATTGGCCTAAATAAAACTAAATAAGAATTGGACTATGTGATGCCATGTCTACCCTAGTGTGCATACTTTGTGGCCATCTTTACTGCCATTATCATCCAATATTGACTATCTAGCATGAACCCTAGAAAAACAGAGAAGAAGAGAGAAAGAGGAGGAAGGTTACCTGCGGCGGAGGGGACTTAGAACGGCGCCACGACGGAGGGGGTTGAGGACGACGGAGAGAGGCAGTAGGGCCTGCCGGCAGGGGGGAGGGCGTGAGGACCAATAGCAGAGAGGTCCTCCACCACCACCGAGGACGATGGCAGGCTCGGGGAAGGCGGGTTGAGGACCGGCGGCGGGGGAAAGGGCTGACCCGCGAGGGGGAGGGCCGGCGGCGAGAGAGAGTGGAGAGGAAGAGTGAGGGGGAGACTGAGGACCGGCGCGGAAGAGGATAATGTGGTTTAGCAATAGCACGGGGAAATGGGCCCATGCTATTGCTATCGAGTTACTTGCAGCACCGGGTAGGTGGCAAGCCCTACTAGTAAGTGAGGCTAACAGAATGGATATACGTGTAGATAGTAGCTGCAATGAGTACAGGACCTACACTACTGCTACATGGTTAGTTGTAGGGCAGGTAGTATACCCCGCGCTGCTACTCTGGCTCGACCCAAGCTACCATAGGGCCCACTTAGCAGCAGCGTGTTTTATGTCACTCTGCGCTGCTACTAAAATATACCTGTAGCGTGTGCTCTTTTTTTTTTGATAAAGGACGATTTTATTATTTTAAATGTAGCATCAAGCGGATACAAAGCATTATGAGTAACACCCGGCCTCTGCATAACTAGGATGCACACGGCCCAAAATGAAGGTCTGACAAAAATTGATGAAAAAAACCGACAAATCGGCAACAATAGAGCCCTATAGACCGACACTATGCCTATGTCGATGAAGGTGGTAGATCGATCCGAAGGTTATGTTGCCACCCATGTTGGGAAAAAACCTCCATAGCCACCTGCTCCAATCGCATACACACCGCCTTGAACAGCGGTTGATCCTCCGGTCGTTGTAACATAGACCACATACGTAGCAATTGCGTACACCGGAAAATAACATGTAGAGGAGAAGCATTTCTTCCATTAAAAAGAAAATTATTTCTATATAGCCAAAGCCACCAAATTAAGGCATACGCTCCCACCCTTATTAGCGTTTTGAACCTATTTGAAACACCGTCCAACCAATGACCAAAAATATTGACAACAGTTGTGGGCGGATACAAATTTGACGCTATTTGGATGACTGACCACGTAGAACGTGCAAACTTGCATTTGAAAAGGAGGTGTTTGATTGTTTCGTCATGAGTACAAAAACAACACTTCTTACTCCCTTGCCAGTTGCGTCGTGCGAGATTGTCTTTGGTTAACACAACCCCCCTACGAAGATACCACATGCAAATTTTTACTCTTACTGGAATCTTGGACTTCCAAATTTTCTTATTATTACTCACTGGTACCTCAGAATGTGTGAGCGCACGATACATATAGTTTACAGTGAAAGACCCTGATGTAGTAAGGTTCCAGCGAAACACATCCCGGCCTTGTGTCAGGTTAATCGAATCCAATCGGGATAAAAGATTATGCCATGACACAAGTCGGGGGCCAAACAAATCCCACCTGAACGAAATATTCGGCGGGAATGAACTGAGCACTTGCGCAATAGTATTATTCTTATCGCGAACAATGTTGTATAAGCCTGGATATTGTTCTCAGAGACTGGCATTGCCTAGCCAGATGTCTTCCCAAAAACGAATCTCTGACCCATCCTTTATCGCGAAAGACCCAAAGCGAAAGAGATGTTTCTTTGCCGCCATTAGGCCAGCCCAAAAGTGCGAATCACCAGGTTTCCAAAATGCCTAGGACACCGCATTTTGACCTAGATACTTGTTGCGCAGCATGGTTTGCCAAACACCATCCTCAGTAAGAAGTTTGAACAACCATTTACTGAGTAGGGCCTCGTTTTTGACCTACAAGTCATGAATTCCGAGCCCTCCTTGGTCTTTCGGCCTACAAACCACGCTCCATTTGGCCAGCCTGTATTTTTTTTCACTGTCTCCTTGCCAAAAGAATCTGGATCTAAAATAATCCAATCTTTTTAGGACCCCTTTTGGGAGTTGAAAGAAAGAAAACATATAGAGAATCATATTTGTGAGCTCTTACCCAGCGCTACTGCTACTTAACAATAGCATGGGCTCTTACCCAACGCTACTGGTAAACATCTAACTATAAGGTATTTCCTAGTGAAATGAGATTTAAGCTCAAACAAGCCTCTTATGTAAAGCTTATAATATGAGGATCAAATAGCACATCTTTTGTTGAGGATAACTAACTATCGGAAAACAAAAGTGCAAAAGTTGTGG